GCAACGAATTAACGCAAAACTTCAGCAAAAACTAACTGCAATCAAGTTTTCAATTTCAGACTGTAGTTGAACATTTTAATCGGAGATACAAAAAGTAAACTTCATCCTCTAACGATTAGTTTAGCCTCAAATATAAGGTGAACATTGAAAATTAATTGGCATTTTGATAATGCTAAAATTATACAACAAATTTTAATAATTGGCTTACTGCAACTGTACAGCAACAGCCAATTTTCTCCTTATGTCTACTAATATTTCTTCTCGAAACATGTTAAGGTGAACCTATCCAAAAAAAGAAATTTGGAAACTTCAACACAGTGAAACACACCTTCAGCACTCCTTTCAGATGTTAAAAAGGTTTGATCTGAGTAAAGAGGAGGGTAACAAACATTAAGCAAAATTAATTTTCACTTCTGTTCCGCCTTCAGATGCAAAATTAGAAACAACATCGCACCTACAAATTTCCAACGGCTGCATCCGCCAAAGTGGAAAGATTTTATAGAGAAGTACACTTGTTTACATGACCGTTAAAAAATGAACACCTTCCCACTGTTTTTTTGTACCGTCTCCTGCAATGTGCAGCAGACCCCCAAGACAATTTACTCGTATACACAACCCCCACTGAAATGCTCACCTCAGTAAAAATCGCGATAAGATAGAAAGAAACAGGTCAAGAAAATTCCAGAAGTTTTAAAAAAAGTTTTTTAATTTTTTAATTACAATTTTAATTAACTCTCTTCTAAAATACCCACTCCTGCCAGTCAGTAACGCAATCCTACACAAGCAATGAAACAGCTCTGCCAGTGTTCTCTGAACACAAACAAAACACTTCCATTTCCACAGCTTCCCATCAAGCAACATTCCAAAACTGTTTCAAAGATTTTGAAAACAATGCGAAAAAGGCTACGCAGTACTTCATGAACCTTTCAAGAAATTACTGACAAATGCATGCACTCAGAAACGACCCCACTTTCTTAAACCATTTTCCTAATTAATCCTTCAAGAGAATTTTTTATAGACATAAAATTGAACTATGTCCTAGTAGGTCTCAGAAGCTTGCTCAATGCCAAAGGTTTACAGAAAATGTTTGAGACAGTTTCAAGCCAAACTCACACACGTTTCAGTCATAGCACCACGTAGCTATAAATCTCCTGGCTGGTAAATGCGTGCTATGAATCCAAACGTTTCGCCTTTCCCGTCTCCTCCAGACACTCCCCTAGCATCCTTTTGAAACGAAGATTTCAATCTCCCCAAACTCCCTCCCGTTTTAAACAAATTCACCCATGTATCAGAAACTGCTCAACCACTAACACCCGTGAGATCGCTAGTACGATACGTAAACCATTCACCAACAAGACCACTCAAACAGATTAAAAACTTCGACATTGTTGTATCCAAACCCCCTAGCTTACGAATCGCAACTCAAAGCGCAAAGTGAACCAGAAAACTAAAACTGTCCGCAAAAAAACCAGTCATGCCGTACATGACACTGGGCAGCGAACCACCACTACCCAAATTTTTTACTATAAGTAGTCAGTCATGCCTACTCCCAAAATATTTCGCTTCAAGACACATCCTCTGGAAAACCCAACTTTCATACGCGGAGTCCCATCTAACCATCATATATAGAAGCCAGAAAGTAATAAATTTTTTGTACCCTTCCAAAACAAATATTATTTTAAAAACCAACTCAATTCAAACAGACATGAGATAAAACTATGAAACCCTCGCCGACTAATCGACTATGCTAAACGTACCTGTTTCTGTTCCAATTTGGATAAACTTAGCAAAACTAAGCCACAAAAAGCAAAGAAACTAATATCCTTATCCACCTAAAATATGCAGCCTAATCGCTCCAAGTGAGAGCTGGATAAGTCATAGAAACGACTTTTACAAGAACCGTACTGCAACGAAGAGAATGCATAACAAAAAAGCTCCGAAGCCGTACAAAACAATTTTCCCAGTAATTCCACTTGAAAATGCAACTTTGGAAAAAAGACAAAACGAGAAACAGCACTGTCATGCAACAACAACAATAATCCGACACAATGCGAAAATGAAACAGACGTGTAAATATAAATTAACAGAAGGCTGTACCGATGACTACTACACATTGAAAGAAAAATTGAAATTTATCAAAGAAAGAATACTACAGTGAGCCGAATCAGTTTTAGTAGACTGAGCCAATTTCAGAAAAATATTATAGACGAACCTTATAAAAAAACAATGCATTGCACATCAAAGTCACCCAGTTTACTGCAAGAGAAGACTATAACATCACAAAAACGACGAAACATTTGAAGAAAAAAATGAAGCTTTGCTTCTTACCGTCAACTACCAATTATTACTGATAAAAAGTCAAAAAAATTCCACTGCATAGAAGTTCGGACACGCGCTATAAAATTAGCTTAAAACTAGTCTACCTAAAAACAAAACAGCGACATAAAATGACTCAAAACCAACAAATAAAAGACAATATGACAGGAATGATTAAAAACAAATTTAAGGCTTTTTCAACTTTTCCACTGTTCTCTCCAAAAAAAGATGTATATTTTGAGTTGCAAAATATATTCCAGCGAGATACAAACCAATCACTGCGGCTAAAAATAGTTCGAAAACAGCTGGCTTCACCCGATGAGCAGCAACTGTGTCTTTTAATACCTCATACAGCGTTAAATCAGAAAGAGTTACAGGCTCCATAGATGCTTTTTCCATCGCATACCTCCAAAAAAGAGCAGTAAAATGACTCAGAGGAATATGACTTTCGCTCGATTAAATATACAAGCATAAACAGAGCTCACCGAGTAATTAAGTCTCTAAGTTCTGTAGTAAACCACATATTTTCACCGGCTAGCGGCCTAGGACGACTTCCATATCTGTGCATCCAATAACTAATACGTTCAATTTCTACTGCGTTATCTTTAAGCAAACTACATGAAGAAGTCCCATTGGCCTCGGCACATTTAGAATTTGGCAGGGAGAGTATATAACCAAGTAATGCTTCACCAATGGTACGGATATTAGCCTTAAAAATAAACCACAATGTCGTAACATTGGGAACAAGTTTAAAAAACCACAGCACCTCCTAAAACTTGCCAAACTGAGCAAGAGGGGAAACACGAACCTTGAAAAAAATAGCTCAAATAGCAGCATCAACTTTCTAAAACAAAGAAAAGAGAAAAATATGAGAGTAACGGCCAACGATTCACTGTAGGCAAACCTTCAAGGCTTTGACATCAACATCTTCCACAGTATCAAGCATAGATGCCCGTGCTGGGTCGTTGTGAGACTTCAGATGAGATAAAGTAAATGCTGGCAATCTTTTAATAGAATACCTGAAAAGAACATAAAAACTAAGAGGTCGAATAACCGTATGACCCAAAGCCGCATCTAGTAACTAATACTGCAGAACTTAGCTATTACAATACACTGAAATGTGCCTCAAACAGTCTAAACTTAAAAAGTTGCTGAGTATTCTCAAAAAAAGCAGTTCCGTTCATTATGAAAAAACTATTAACTTTGTAGAAAACAAGCATTTACAGCGAGTATGAGGAGTAAGAGAGGACTGAAATACAGTGCTATTTTTGAGTATCTAACAACAATACCGATAAACGTGCAAGCCATACTAAAAATTGCCCGTTAAAAGAAATAAAAACTTTACCACAGAAACAAACCAATAAAACTGACTTCTCGTGTTCCCAAGAAAGAACATCTGCCACTAAATTGATTTTTTTGGAAACAATCTCCATTTTACGTCCCTTCGGAGTTGCAGCTTGCAGACGGCTAAACAATTTACCAGTAGGAGTAGTCTCCGTTGGCATTTTAGAGACATGCATCACCAAACCATCTCCCTTCCCAATAGTATCCAAACACATAACGACTTCGATGTTGTCTTCTAAAAAGGGCCCAAATTATAACATACTTCATTTTAGCTCTCGCTGAAAACCTCACCAACACGAAATGCGTATCTGCTCAAAATATGCCACCCTCTGAACATGAAATTTGGTATAGATGTATTTCACTGACAACCTTCACTTATTTGGTAGGTTCATTTTGAAAATACCCCGTAGCCCTTGAACTGCTCTAAGGACGAGTAATTGGACTATGCTAGTCTAACAAAAAACCACCAATCACTTCCCAAGCCAGTTGTTTTCCTTTTTTGAGCTGACCTGGTTTTTGTATACCCTTTCGCAGTCCCGTAAGAATTTTATTATATCCAGAGCACTCCTTCTGAAACCAGTTCTTACTTACTAGAATGGTCTACGAATGAGCTACTCAGATGCATTGGTTTCACTGGAAGTCATTAGCTGATCTTTGCGTGAATCCACGTCCTTTGCACTTTCGGAAAACTTGTGAACCGTGACTTTTACCCCGGAACTGGCTTACACTCGTTAGGTTGCACCACTCGTAAAGCATCCAATCATGTTTGCTCAAATGAAAGTTGCCGATTATTCTTTCCCAAAAGTTTAAGTTTTATGCAGCTTCAGAAAAAACTCTACTTTCGACCCGGAGACGATCTGTATTTATCAGAATTCTCAAAGAATGAATTGCCTACATATATTTGTTACTTAGTAGTCACCCAACATGTTTAAGAACTACATGATAATTTTTTAAACTAATTTTTATTTTTTGCACAAGTCTGCTGCACCTACAGAACATTTTGCATACTTCCAAGATATTCATTCCAAAAATGATTTATAACCATTATTAAAAAAACGTGAATGAGCCGTCCAACCACACCAATCCGAATTACGCTAACCGATCGCTTCTTTTTTGAGCTGCATCAAGTTTGTACCTTTTTGCTCAAGAACTCTTCATATATCCAGAACGTTCATTGTGGAACACTCATTACTTCAGTCTTGAGCGTTCCTTTCAGAATTACCAGGACTCAGAGTCTTCCGCTCCACTGATTAACGAAGAAGATGGTAGTTCATGCCGTTAAAGTGGGAAGTATGCTTGGATGCTCAAATGATTTTCGGAGCTGCCCGGCACTTAAACAGCAAAAAATTTTTGTACTACCCGTAACTGACGAAATGTAGAAACTCTTGACGAGACAAACTTTTAAGCGAGGTCTACTCCTCTGAGCCCAACCATAAATCACGCTCTCATTTCTAGAGCATTCCAATATTTGTAAGGTCCTCCCACAATAAACTCCCTGAATGCATGAGCACCGCCACTGGATTATATTCATAGCAAGCTTCATTTCCAAAAAATGAAAGTCGCTCTACCAGACATGAATTTCGTGTTTGCGGGGTCTCTAGTGACAGACCGAAAATGAGATTCCCTATAAGCTACAGAGTTGTGACAAGTTTCTTGAACAAACTGAAAGAGAAAGCAGCTTCCCCTAACTTAAACAGTACTGCAAACTGAACAGTAACTAAGCTAATTATTCGTCTCAGGTCCTTCCTATACGTTCCATTCTACAAAAGTTTTTTCCCTACGCAACCATCACTGCAAACACAATAGTTCGAAAAATGAAGCAACAAAATTCATAACATACAAATAGTAAGGAAAAGCGATTAAATGCTACCAATTCGCTTTTCAATGTGATCTTCAATCCACTGACGCGTTCCCTGATAGTTAAATTTCCCTCCAGCAGAAAATAAAAATAACAAATTATACTTCGGCTTCGTTGTTACCTGAAACGAATGATATTTACGTAAATAACACCCAGAACCAACCTATTTCTTCATGTATCACTGGTCGATGTCAGAGCTGCTACTTATAAAATATTTACATGTCTGGCTATCAACTACGCATGTGAAGATACTCCATCTAATTTTCAAGATGGAAATAAACAATAACGAGAGTAGTGAGGTTGCCAACACTCGATCCACCCGTGAAACCAACCGTGTTTTATGCAACACACAACACAGATTTGGTTCTACGGGTTGACCGCACGTGACAATCAACTAATCATTTCAAAACAATACAATAATACGTAAAAAAATTAAAAAAACGAACGGACGCATAAAAACGAGCGAAAATGGCAAGAAGTTCGAGCAAGGCGACTACACCACTACCATTAGAATCGGATCCCGTGGAAAGTGCTGGCACAGCTGAATGACTATCGTAATGAGCAACTAATAGAACTACAGGCGCACTGCGATCTAATGCCCACAAACGACCCTACAAACTTTTCTCCAAATCAAAATTTTTAAAAAAATACAATATTACCATCATCCTCTGAAAGTAATCTTACCACAATATTAGGAGAATACGGCTTGACAATAATGTTCGCGGGAGATGCTGTGGAAGAAAACTGGAAAGTATTTCCAGCAATTGCATAAAATAACTGTTGAACGGCCGTTGGAGCCCTAAATATCCTTCACAAGATCTACCGTTATTTCAAAAGGAAAAAAGAATCTAAGCACCAAGAAATTTTGTGAAAGCTTTCAAGAAACTGATCTCACCTGGTAGAAAATGCAGAAACATCAGCAAACAATGCTTTTAGTTGTGGCTGCTCATGTGTCACATAAACAGCCATATCGGTATTCAGCATCACTAACTGTCTTTCAAGGTCAGAAAATCTCTAAATTTTCTGAATAAATAAGCTCTGCCATTATACAAATGTTTTCGATCAGAATCAGAAAACTGTATTAATTACAGACTGTAACCGTACACAAACATATGCCACATACCAGCCGATCAGACGACGAAAGAGTACTAAAATTCGCCGGAATTACTATAATCAAAGCACCAACGCCACCACCGAACAAGAGCTGCAGATTCTTACCGACAAGGTCATGCCAACTAACTAATACAGAACGACGTAGTGAGTTCGAATTGAGTGAAACTGCTTCATACATAACTGAACAACATATAAAAATTATTATTTTTTTCCTTTGAAAAACTGCCCTTACAATTTTAAGAACTTTCCGATACCGTTCCTCCTGTACAAGTAAGATAAAAATACAACATGAAACTCAGTTCCACAACAAACTAATTGCTTTTACTGGAGTAAAGTAAAAAACACTCTTACACTGTTTAGTTACTGTTGTCATCGTTAATCATAATTATTTAGATTTAAATTTGAAATAACGACCAAAATTTGACAAAACAAGCAATAACTTTAATCAATAACAAACAAAAAAGCTACCCTAATGCAGTCATAAGCATACAACACTTCACGCAGCAAAGCTAATAGGTTAATAACAGACCTTTCCACGAACGGCTCCCACGAAGAGACCCAGCAAGGTCATATTGTTGTAAGCGATATGCTTTCAGTTCAATTTCCACTGTATCCCCTAGTTGGGAACTGCTAACAACGCACCAAGAAAGCAGTGCTGATATAAACAGAATAAAGAAAGGATTGCGCAGCTCTTCTATTAATTCTTCTTGCATTACGTAGCTGAAACGTTCTGTTAGTAGACTAAGGTAAAAAAGAAATGGACTGAATTTCTTACTACAAATCTTCTATCTTTTAATCACGCACCACAGTCGCAAAAATTTTAAATTTTCCAGAAAGCACTGCCAGTTAACAAATAAAAAAAAAAAACAAAAAAACTCTTTAAAAAATTTGCAGCAAAGATGCCAAACACTTCTCAGACAGATAACACTGTCCAATTGTAAACGCAGCAAAATAAAGTTCAAGAATAAATTACTAGAAATAATTTCCTCGAACAATTTAGTAGCTGCATCAACTAAACAAGAATAAACAATAATTCAATAATATAAAAAAAAAATATCCTCAACAGTCTCAAAAAAAAAAAAAGTTGCAAAAATTAATAAAAAACTTTGTCACAAAATATGATCTATGACTTTCTCTCACAATTCTTTGAACTAGCTTCCTGCTTTACAAATTAAAAAGGCAATAGTACTGATCACGTATTTACACCTGGTACGGTCTATGCCATCTTTGACCAATTTAAATTAGAACATGACAAAGAGAAAACTCAAAAAGTACTACTTTTCAATTTGCAAGCAGAAATAACCATAAAACCGTGACGAAGAATTAGTAGCAAAAACAAATATTTCCTCGCTAAAATCAAGAAAAATCAAATTACTGTTCACTCTTTTCAGGTTACCTTCATCCCACTGACCTTAAACAATTTTAACAGCCAGTAACCAAACAGATAAAATACATCTTCAGTGTATTCAAATTTTCACAGACCCTATAGTCTCTTCTGTAATCAGCGATCCAAAGTCGAAGACGCCCGCTGGGTTGTGTATAACAAAGCTTCGGGTAAAGAATCTTAGAAGACGAGAGACCAAAAATAACTTCCCTGCAGACAACGCAACATAACGAAATAACTGCGATAATAATCTACAATAAGGTCAAAGTGGGTCTGCAAAAAACTGAACTTACTATCAAAGAATAGCAGAAAACGTAATCAAGCAAATACCTATGGAGAACTACAGAGACAGTAACCTAACTAAAAAGTCTCTTAATTTATTAGTGAGCTGTTAATTTAAAACTATACAACGAACCTTCCTATCTCCTGCTTTTTCAGCTGATACAAACATCCACTTTTAACTCCTAAAATAGTCGAACGATATTCAAAAAATAGGTGCTGAAATGACTCAAATTATCAAGTAAAAACCAAAAATAATAATTTTTTTGAAAGGCGTGAATAACCTGAACATACCGGAAAAAACTTTTTCTCAAGGAAAAAAGAGAGGAAAAGCAAGAAACCTTAATGTACATAAAAGCAAAAAAAGCAGAGGATGAATAGTGAAGAGAATTTAGTGATGCCATTAAGTTAAGGATAGCTTTATTCAGTAAATTAATTTTATAACAGGTATCTCCTGCAACTGACACTGCAACAAGAAACTTTTCAAGCGTTTCATGTTCCCAGCAACTGAAGGTAGCAAAAATGCCCACACAGTTCCGAACAAAATATTTAGTAGATTAAAACAGCCAGAAAACCACAAACATATAACACTCCGAACTGAAACTTCCGTACACCATTACCGCTGTTTACATTCCCGAAGCAACAGCAACACTTACACGAAAGAAATAAATCCCTTAAAAATAGTACAGGCATTGCCGATTCTGTGGCTGCTGGAGGTGCTCGAAAGCCCGAATATTTTGAAAAATAGCACTTCGCAACTGCCCCGAAGTAACGGTCAAATTCGAAATTTCGTTTAGCTTAAAGTTGCAGCACTATATTTTTATTTCGGATGGCAAAGTCACTGTAGCGTCTTACTGGAAATCTGAACTTTTCTCTGCAAAATTGCAAATGGTATGTCAGGGAAGATTTGTTTGTATTTTATGAAGCAACTGATAAGACCTCATTCATTTTAATTTTTGAAAACACCTGCAAAGTGGCGACTTTCTGTGTTCAATTTTTCTGAACCTTCGTCCAAAGTTTGCAACCCAGAAGACCAAAAAATAGATGAGTATTATCTGAGTCGACCGGAGCAAATTGTTTCGCGTCGATGAATTTGTGGAATTAACAGTAGCTCCAAAAAAATATTGCTGTCAGTTTTTTTGGGAGGTGCAAGAGATGAAGAAACACGGTAAACATTCTAGAAGTGCTTTTAAAAGCTAAAACCAACCAGGTCATCCCATTTATTCTTCAAAATAGTTCCAACCTGCTCTCAAAACAGTGCTTCTAACTCCATAGGTCTTTGCTTAAAAGCCAGACGTTTACTGCTTTCGAGAATAGCTAATAAGGTTTGAAAAATTTTTTTGCAAGAACGTTTTCGTTGTGGTGCTTGTATGGCTTCAGTTTTTTTGCTGGCTTTTACACCAGTATCTGTTATGACAATTGTAGACTCCATGAATTAATCTATACGGTGAAATTTTTTTGCTCCGTTCGAATGAAATAGTGCAGGCCACCATAGCTTCTTATAAGAATTGGTGCTTTTTTGATAAAAGGTGCAAAAGAAGTTGGAAACT